TATGTACCAATCTCATTTGTGATTAAAATATAATGTCACCTTTGTTAGCTTAGGACTTCCCTGGTAGCTTAGACGGTAAAGCGTCTGCCTACAATGAGGGAGACCCGGCTTCGATCCCTGGGTCAGGAAGATCCTCTGGAGAAGGAAATGGCACCCCACTCCAGTACTCTTGCCTGGAAAATCCCATGGACGGAGGAGTGTGGTAGGGTACAGTCCATGGGGTTGGGTTGCAAAGAGTCGGACATGACTGAGCGACTTCACTTTCACTTTGTTAGCTTACTTTTAAATTTTTTTCATGTTTGACATTAAAACTTCTCAGCCCCCATTTTTCTACTTATACAACATAAAATAAAACTCTAAACTGTATTTTTTTTTTTAAGTTAAGCATCTTTTTTTTTTTTTCTCCTCCTCTTTGGACTGCAAGGAGATCCAACCAGTCCATCCTAAAGGAGTTCAGTCCTGGGTGCTCATTGAAAGGACTGATGCTGAAGCTGAAACTCTAATACTTTGGCCACCTCGTGCAAAGAGTTGACTCATCGGAAAAGACCATGATGGTGGGAGGGGTTGGGGGCAGGAGGAGAAGGGGACGACAGAGGACGAGATGGCTGGATGGCATCACCAACTCGATGGACATGTGTTTGAGTAAACTCCGGGAGTTGGTGATGGACGGGGAGGCCTGGCGTGCTGAGATTCATGGGGTCGCAAAGAGTTGGACACGAATGAGCAACTGAACTGAACTGAACTGAACTGAACTGAAACACTACAGTACCTGGCAAAAGAGCTTAAACTTGAGTGGATTATTGCAAAAATCGACTCTTTCTTAATAACATACTCTCTCATTCTAAATGACATAGGAAAACCTATATAGTCTAAGTTATTTCCCAATGGTTTTTTCATTTGCAGGCTGTGCTTTCAAGCATGAACACAACTAAGTAGAAAAAAAGAAGAAAAAAAGTGGCTTCAGTTACTAAACCCTATAAGCCAGTCCAAAAAGATGCAGCTAAAGGTGCTTTTCCATCAAAATAGCTATCTTAAATGCATTTCACTGTGGTACTTCCAAGTTTGGATGGCATTTTAATGGAAGTGAATGGAAGCTAAAGCCAGTGTGACCAGTACTGTATTACAGGCTGCAGCCATGACTCAGAGTAATTTGATCTAACCAGGTTCAATGCATCACATCATGAACTTCAGATTTTTCTCTGCAGTAAAACCATTTGGAATCCTGACTTCCAGCCAACATTGACTTCGCCTGTTATAATTCCTAAATTAGAGTAGTATGGACCAAAACATGCCAACGTCCAAAATCTCTTACATATTCAGAAAAAAGTTGGTCAGGTGACCTTGCTCAGTAAGGAGGCAAAGAGTAAGAACTCAAGGAGAAAAAATGTATAATAAATCTAGAGATATATAAATATAGAGAGAGAGAGGTTCTTGAAAACAAGGGACTTAATATTTTCAATTCAATATGCACTTAGAGTCAGAGTTCCAAATCTCAGAATCGTTAACTAATCAATTTAACCACAATTTTCACCAATTTTCTCAACCTTTGTAAGGTTGAGACCAGAAGGTTAAGGCAAGCCACAACAAAATTACCATCTAGTAAGTCATGGTTCTGTCTCCACTGCTCAGACTCAAGCTGTAATTCATGAAGTGTGTCCATCTAAAGAGCTGACATTTGGTATGAATTAAATTTGGTATGGATAAAATTCAGTGTGATAAAGACACATATAATTCCAATTTAAAAGAATAATTTGATGGTAAAAGCCTTCATTTTAAAAACTTGAAAGCTATTTTAAAAACAAATGACTGTGTTTGTGAAGAAACTGCTAAGTAAAATCCCCAGAAGAAAATCTGACACCATGTTGGAATTGTTTAACTGAGCATTCACTGTCTAGTTAGAATTACATGATTTCAATAATGTTCAACATTCATAAAATAAACCAGAATCCTTGTACTGTGCAACCTCACATTAAAAAAAAAAAAAGAACAAATCCAAAAGATCAATCAAGATGGTAAAGAAGCAGAATTAAAAGCAGTAACATTCTAGAATATGCCATACACCACTTTGTGTTCATATTAACAAGAAAACAGACTAAATAGGAACTAAATGGGACAAATTATTTTCGGCCACAAAGGACAGTGCCTATTTTGCATGTTAAACTACACAAAGCTTCATGGCCCTTTTTAGAAATACTAAATTGGAACTTTTCCAAGAAACACTTAATCAAAACCTCAAGTGATAATCCTCAAGTTGCATAAGACAGTACCGAAGATTTTTCTTTAATCATCTGACCTTTCCTTTGGACATAGATAAAATTGAGTAACCCTTTTGAGCTATCTCATGCCTCTTGCCGACACACATACCATGAATTATTAACACTGAACATATTAGAAAACATATGGCAATAATCATCTTTTCTAAATAACAAACCTAAGTTTGAACACGGCTTTTTTAATTGTGTGAAGTTTTTAAAAATATAAATAGCTTGTGGGACTTTTTTTAAATTCATAAGTAACACACAGTACTTACATGTAATTTTAAAAGGAAAAATAAAACAAAGAAAACAAAAGTCACCCATTATCTTATCACCTAAAAAAGTAACCACTAACATTTTGGTGTATACTTCAATCTTCTTTCCAAGTCTGTATATACAAAATGTTTTTGCGTGCATGCTTTTAGTCTCTCAGTCACATTCAAATCACATAGACTGTAACCTGCCAGGCTCCTCTGACCATGTAATTTCCAAGGTAAGAAAACAAGAATATTGGAGTGGGTTGCCATTTCCTTCTCCAGGGGATCTTACCACCCTAGGAATTGAACACATGTCTCCTGTACCATAGGTGGATTCTTCACCATCTGAGCCACCAGGGAAGCCCCTTATATAATGTTTTTAGTTTGCATAAAATTGGGATTCTCCTAGAATATAGTTTCACAAACTTAATAATACACTACAAATATTTTTTTCACATCATGAAATATTCTTCTAGTAATTATTTTAGTGAAAATGGTATTTAACCAAACTTTATCCAAGATTACAAATTGTTTAATTCTTTACTGCTATAAATAATGCTTTGATAAATATTCTAGTAGATTAATCAAAAACTGTTCTCTTGGGAAACATTCCTAGAAAGGAAATGTTATGTTAAATTATACATATGTTTTAATGTTTTGGAATGTATTGCCCAATATCTAAAAAGGTCTTTTTTCAAGTGCTCCATGTTTTACTTAGTTGACTGTGCTCCTAGCTAGATTAGTAAAAATGATAGTCACCCAGAATCTTTCCATGATTCGTTCAGAAGGCTTTCACAGTGCTGGCCTCCAGTATTTCAAATAGGTATCAATTAGAGTTCGTATGGTAGCTCAGTGGTAAAGAATCCACCTGCCAATGCAGGAGACCCAGGTTCGATCCCTGAGTTAGAAAGATCCCCTGGAGAAGGAAATGGCAACCCACTCCAGTATTCTTGCCTGGAGAATCCCACGGACAGAAGAGCCTGGTAGACTGCAGTCCATGGGGTCACAAAGAAACAGACATGATGGAAGCAAATTAGCACTAGAGTGTGTATGTCATTGCTCCCACATCAATGCCTACAGTCCAGAGACAACACCAAGAACAAACATCAGGTTACACTTACCTCAAGGGATCATTTAATAAACATTATCCCTTTGCAACTGGGTGAGTATTCTAAAAATATTCAGAAATGAGGCTTTCTTATTCCAGGTGATTCTATGCTATTCTATACTATAAGACACAATTCAGGGGATTATATTCTATAAGTCATAATTTATACTTACAGTAACTTTTAAATGAGTTTCTTTCAAAATAACTATTTTGCGTGTTGTTTTCAACAAAGATTTTCCCTGATCATGATTAGTTTAAATGTGAGTCCACATGGCTTGTGGCTTCGCAAGTGACACAGTAGTAAAGAATCCACCAGCCAATGCAAGAGATGCCCGAGTTGCAGGTTTGATCCTTGGGTCGGGAAGATTCCCTGGAGTAGGAAACGGCAACCTACTCCAGTATTTTTACATGGAAAATTCCATGGACAGATGAACCTGGCAGGCTATAGCACATGGGGTCAGAGAGTCGGACTCGACTGAGTAACTGAGCACACACAAATCACACACGGTTGAGTAGTTAAGGGGAAAGTTAAGTTCAGCGGTTGGTCACCCTGTGTTTGAATTCTTTCCAAGCTACTTCCTGGTTCTTGTGGCACTAAGCAAATTAATCACTTTATGCCTCGATTTCTTCACATGTGAAATTTGAGTACAACAAGAGTGAAATTTCTCCTGAAGTTGTTACATTAAGAGCATTAAATAAGAGAATCTCTGTAAGATGCTTAACACTATGCCTAGCACATAATAAACATTCAATATCTGTTGGTAGTTATTATTAAGCAAAAATTGCCTCTGGCACTTTGAAATTTGTTGCCCTTCATCTACCTAATAAAGTATATTCTGTGTAGCTTGTGCAGATGTAAGGTCTTTTTCGTCTCTGTAATACTAAACGAACTTTGGTGACCCTCAGAAGCCAGCAAAGGTGCAGAGTTTTGATTAAGCATTTAGATTAAGCACCTCTCTGGCGCCTCTGGCAACACAGCCAATGCTTAAACTGAAACAACATTGACATCTAGTGGTCATAGGTGTGAATTACATGTATTAAGCAAACTGGCAAATTTAAAAACCCAAATTTTCCTACAATCTCAGGGGAAATACGTTACATAAATCCTTACATAGATTTGTGCCTATGCCCTTTGGTTATATCTCATCCTTTGGTTGCATAAAAAGTGTTTTGAATAACTGAAGTCCACATTATCTATCATATCAATCTTTACTCATTTTAATCAATTGATTTATCTTAAAATTCCAAAAAAGAGATATATTTAGAGAAATATTAATATATGTTCACTTTACACTCAAAGCATATATAAAATTGTAACAAGGTAGTGCAAATTAATCCAACATAATACAACAGGCATAAAATACATTAATAGGCCTTGAATATTATATATTAATTTATGAATCCATTTTATACAATTTTATAATGGACATTAAAGAATTGAAACCATTGTGTTAAATAAAATATAGCCAATAAAGAGTTTTTTTTTCCATTACATTTTTCTATAACGAAAAGGAGTTGGAAAATTAGTGTTTCAGGAGAAGGTTTACACATCAATCATGGAGCAAGCTTTAAGAGAATTTCTTACAAGTTAGAAGATTACTCACAGGAAATCCATCACTATAGGACTATATTTACTGAAGCTGTGCTGGAACTATTTTGCCATGTGTTTTAGTCTCTTGGTTACTTTCCTGAAAGGAAGACATAAGATTTATTCAGCAGCAAGACCCCAGCACTGCTAATTAGAAATGCTAATAGGAAGGACTGATGCTTGAAACTCCAATACTTTGGCCACCTGATGCGAAGAGCTGACTCACTGGTAAAGACTCTGATGCTGAGAAAGACTGAGGGCAGGAAGAGAAGAGGGCAACAGAGGGTGAGATGGTTGGATGGCATCATTAACTCAATGGACACGAGTTTGAGTAAACTCGAGGAGAAAATGAAGGACAAGGAAGCCTGGCATGCTGCAGTCCATGGGGTCGAAAAGAGTCAGACACGACTTAGTGACTGAACAACAACAAATAGGTGCAACTAGATCATGAGAACAAAACTAAGAATGATCCCCTGAGTTAGCTGAACTCACCATCACTGTTAACAGCATCTACTGCTTGTAGAGCATTTAGTACATCTCATACTCTGATAGACTCTTCTATTTCATAGTTGCTCATTTATTCAACAGATAGACCACCTATAGTGCTGCCAGACCATGTAATGACAATGGTGGATCACAACAGATATAATCCCTATCCTAACTGAGCTTATAAATCACTGGAGAAGATAACAATAACCACCAATCTGAAACAAACTTATAACTGTATTATGAGCCGAAATTGCACCCCCTAAAATTCATATGTTGAAGCCCCACCCCCAGTACCTCATCATGTGACTGTATTTGTAGACAGGGCCTTTGATGAGGTAATTAAATTAAAATGAGGCTTTTAGGATGGGTCCTGATCCAATCTGACTGGTGTTCCTACAGGAAGAGAAAATGTGGACACAGAGACACTGGGGTGCGCGCGCACACACACGCACACACAGAGAGAGGAAAGATCATGTGAGGATTCAGTGAGAAAGCAGTCATCTGCAAGTCAAGGAGAGAGGCTTCAGGAGAAACCAAACTGCTGACACCTTGATCTTGAACTTCTGGTCTCCAGAATTGTGAGAAATAAGTTTCTGCTTTTAAGCCCACCAGTCTGTGTTATTTTGTTATGGCAGCTTTAGCAAACTAACACACTGTGAACAAAATGCCGTTTGAGAAAGGTTCACAGAACTATGAGCACATACAATAGAGCATTCGATTTAGTCAGAGTCAAAGAAAAACGAACTCTAAAGAATGAATGGGGGTTAATAAGTCTGAAAGGGAGAGGCAGTATGCTCCACACTGAAGGGAGAGTTTGCATAGGACCCTGGGGTGAGAAGACACAGGGCATATTTCTGGAACTAACGGGAAATCGACATGGCCAGAATCCAGACAGTGAAGGGACGCATGCTATGAAATGAAGCTGGAGAGGGAAGCAGAGACCAGACTATGCAGATACTTGCATGCCAACAGTTAAAGATGTTGGTCTTTATCCTGTGAAAATTGAAAATCATTAATGTGCTTTAAGCAGAGAATAACATAATTTTGAATTTTAAGATCACTCCAGCTGGAGAAGGGAGAAGAGATTTGAGGACAGCAGGAAAGGAATGAAGAGACCAATTAGGTAGTTATTTCAGTGTCTAGCATAGAGAAGCGATAAACTGAAGGAGGGTGGTAGCAGTGAGCATGGAAACATACACAGACTCAAGAGATATTTAAGAGGTACTGCCACAGAGACACGGCAATAATTTAAGTTCTAGAGGGTGATGGAGAGGTCCTGACAGATTTCCGGCTTGTAAAGTGGAGAAATGAAAAGGGCACCGTCCTTTAAGAAAAGGGCTTCCCTTCTGGCTCAGGCGGTAAAGAATCCGCCTGCAATTCAGGAGACCCGGGGTCAATCCCTGGGTCAGAAGGATCCCCTGGAGGATGAAATGGCAACCCGCTCCAGTGTTCTTGCCCGGAGAATTCCATGGACAGAGGGCCCTAGCAGGCTACAGTCCATGGGGTCACAAAAGTCGGATACAGCTTAGCAACTAAACCACAACCACCACCATCCTTTAAGAAAAGGAGATGGATGAGAGCAAGATTTGGAAAGAAAAAGATTTAACTCTTTTTTTAGCTCTACTTACTTGAGTCTGAGGTTGAGTCTGAATCCCTCTACTATGACACATTCACATAGAAATGTCAAGAAGTTGGCTTCGTCAAGTTTGGAGCTCAGAGAAGAGATCTGGGTTACAGATATGAATTTGGGAGTCATCCACCTGTAAGTAGTAAGGAAAGTCCCAGGTGTAAGTAGGAATACCTAGGAAAACAGTATAAAGAAAAAAGGGAAGAATCTAGGACTGAGTTTGAGGAACTCCAAAGACAAGTGAGTGAACAGACATGTAGGAAGAAACCTAGGGAAGCGCAATGTCATGTACTCTAAGAAGGAAATGATCACCAGTGCAGGATGCTACTGAGATGTTAGGGTTGATTCAGGAATATGTGAGAGTTGATCTAGGGCTTAGCTGAGGGGTGAAGGCAAGATGAAATGTGGAAGCAGTGAAAATGTAGAAGCATTTTGAGACATATTCCTTATAAAGGAAGGAAATAGCTGTGAGGCTGACAAAAATGTTTGGGGTATAGTTTCTTTGGTTTTATTAATATGAGTATTATGGACTGAATGTGTCCCCTCAAAATTCATATACTGAGACTCTAATCTCCAGTGTGTTGGTGTTATGAGATGGGGCCCTTGAAACGTGGTATAGACTGAAAGTTTGTCTCCCCAAAGTCAACCATTGAGATCCTAATCTCCAGTGTGGTATTAGGAGATGGGGCCTTTGAGAGGTGATTGGGTCATAAAGGCAAAGCCCTTGTGAATGGGATCAGGACTCATAAAAAGGACCACGAGAGCTCCCCTGCGCTTCTACCAGGTGAGGACACAGAGAGCAGTCGGCAGTCTGCAACCCAGAAGAGGGCCTTACCAGAACTCGACCGTGCTGGCACCCCAGTTTCAGACTTCTAACCTCTGGAACCGTGAGAAATAAAGTTCTGTGGTTTATAAGCCACCCAGTATATGGTACTTTGTTATGGTGGTGGAACTGACTGAGATAGGAGCTAATTAGGTATAGAAGAGGTCATGACGGTGGGTCCTGCATAGTAGGATTAACACCCTTACACAATGAGAAGGCAGCCATGTGCAAGTCAGGAAGAGCCAAATCTGCCTGCACTTTGATCTTGGACTTTCCAGCTTCCAGAACTGTGAGAAAGGAATGTCTGTTGTTGAAACTACCCAGTCTATGGTATTTTATTATACCATCCCAGGACTAGAACAGTGGGGGTTCTGCGGGTAGGGAGGGAGTATTTTGTTTGAATTGGCTAAGATTAAAGGGAGGTAACAGGAGTATGCTTTAAAATTTATGAGAATCACAGAATGTCTGTATCCTTTTGGGGGGGCATGCTACGAGGCATGTGGGATCTCAGTTCCTGGACCAGGGATCGAACCCACACCCTCTGCATTAGAACCACTGGACTACCAGGGAAGTCCTGAATCATAGCATCTCTGAAAGGAAGACATTTTGGTTCACGTACTATAGATCAGGAACCCAAGGATCGTAAAGAGTAAGTAATTAGTCTTAAGTAATACAATTAAGAAGTGATTGAACCAGGTCCTAAAACCAGGACTATCTGACTCCACTTTGACATACTGCCTCCCCACAAATATTAATATCTATTGTGCATCAACTACATGCAAAGCCAGATAATATAACTCAAATCTAATTAGGACTGGGGACACATTCAGTACACAACCTGATGATGACACTCCAAACAAAGAGAATCTGATCTCAAGTTCAGTATATACCAGAAAGATCCTCTCTTGCCCTTGGCACTGCCAACTCTGTATAGTGGCAACATGAAAATTTAGAGCTGCCAAGAAATTCTGAGCTGCCTCAAGGAACCAGGAATTGGAGGAAGGTTCAAGAAAGGGCAGATTAAAGAGTAGGAAAGAAGGGAAAAGGCATTCTTAGAGATCCATAGAGAAAAAATGGAATCACTAATTTATGCAATATCCTTAATACTGCTATAGTTCTGATGGTATCACCTCATCTTACTTCTTATACACATGCTCCTCCTTTATGAAGATTTTTAATAAGCATGGTCAAAAGATATTCTCAATGGAAGATACCATCTTCGTAGAGGTTGTAATCCCTAACTACTGCTTGAATTCTAGTCAAAAAGAGCACTCAAGAATTCCAAGCACAGACCTTCCTTAAGACTTAACACCATTGGATATTTGCTCTGTGTTTTTGTACTTCTTCAAGGAGTATTTTGAAAACAAAAAGAATTTAAAGGTTCTATTTCAGTGAGTTTCAACCTTGCCTACACACTGGAATCATCTAAAAAACTTTAAAATTACTGCTTTTAAAAACACTGATGCCTGGGATCCTAACCCCAGAGAATCTGATTCAATGGGTCTCAGGTATGGCCTGTCTATTGAAATTTAAAATTTTCACCTCATTATTCAAATGTATAGCCACAGGCCCATGAAAACCATACAAGGAACGGTATCATTGAATGATTGGGGTAAGATCGTTCTTGTAACAGTCAGTATTCACTCCGAGGTAGATATGGTGCTGGAAGCTGGGACACAGATAATAAGACAAGACCATTACCCTCAAGCAGCTTACTTACATCCTCCTGGAAGAGTCAGACATAAAGCAGACACTCATGATATCTTTACTAAGTCTTGTGGTAGAGATATAGCCCAGGTGCCCACCACACCACCACTCCTTTCAGTTTAAAGGATGCCGTCAGTTAATGGTCGTGGTATTCAAAATTGTTGATCCTATTTTCTCCACAGTGGGGCTTCCCAGATAGCTCAGTTGGTAAAGAATCTGCCCGCAGTGCAAGAGACCCTGTCAATTCCTGGGTCTGGAAGATCCACTGGAGAAGGGATAGGCTACCCACTCCTGTATTCTTGGGCTTCCCTTGTGGGTCATCTGGTAAAGAATCCGCCCACAATGTGGGAGACCTGGGTTTGATCCCTGAGTCGGGAAGATCCCCTGGAGAAGAGAAAGGCTAACCACTCCAGTATTCTTGCCTGGAGAATACTTCCATGGACTGTATAGCCCATGGGGTCGCAAAGAGTCGGACACGACTGAGTGACTTTCACTTCACTTCATTTCTCCACAGCGGGTGAATTTTTCTCCAGGAGCTCAGAATTGTGGCTTCATAGACTCTGCTGCCACTAAGAGCAAGAGGTTCTCTCCATCACAGTCCACTCTGTCAGTAGAAGTTCTCTTCTTTCTTGAGATCCAGGAGGGAGTGAGAAACAGCAAAACATCCTCTGGTAGACACTGTTCTTTGGCTACTACAGATATCTTCCTCACTCACTGCTACCATTTCTTCCATCTGTGTAACTCGAACATCAATTTTGTATTTAGGTAAATAACAGAGAAGTCAGGCTTCCCTCTGCAGGTCCAGGAGCTGAATCATGATCAATATGAAGCAGCCATGGTAACGTCTCTCCTTGCCAGATAAGGTCTTTTCAGCCACCTTTGTAACTCGAGGTAACCATGTGACACAGTTCTGGCCAATAGGATAGAAGGGGAAGTCTGAGAGTGGACGTCTAGAAAGATATCTCCATGATGAGAGAAAGCTTTTGATCTCTTCCTCCTTTTTCCTGTCTTAAAAGCAAATGTAATGTCTGGAGCTAAGGCAGACATCTTGAGACCTTGAGGCAACAAGCCCAGGCACAAAAACAACATGCTGAGAACTGTAAGCAGGAAGAGTGAAACCACCTGAGCCCTGAAATCTTACTGAGCCTCTGCTCCAGCCCTGGACAAACGTCATCCAGATCACTTCCCCTATGCATAAAAATAAAACCCTGTTTGTTTAAGCTACTCTTCACTAGGTTTTCTGCAACTATCAAAATCAGGATTAACTAATACACAGTCCTTCTTTCCTTGTCACTTTTGGCCTCCAGAAGACTAACGTATTAGAGAGAAATGTGATTATAAATGTCTTTACTGAAGGGACATTTTGAAGAGAAATATCATGCAGGATGGACGAAATTAACCTGCCAGTTAATCTGTACTTTCACATGTACCACATAAGTGAAGCATCTCAAGATGTTGGCCTTCATCCCGCACAAGGAAGGTGACCACCTGACAGTTCCCTGTGCCTCTGATCAGGCCCACCGCCCTCAGGTTCACAGACCTGCTGAGGGACAGGATTGCAGCCGTTCAACTATGGGACCTCGCTTCCCAGATCCCCTGCCCTGTGTGGTTCTGAGGCAGGCTGCACAGAAGAGGAACTTGCAGGAGATTTGAAAGCAAGGAGTAAAGCAACAGCCACTACTCTCTGAAGGTATTCTTGATAGTCACCGAAATGGACAGATGCAGGAGGAACCAGCCCTTCTCTATCTGTGCCCAAATCTTCTCCCCAAATGCTGTCTTGGGAAGGGACTAGCACCCAGCCCCCGTCAGAGGCAGTAGCCACAAAGAGGCAAGAGCCCGCCATAGATCTGCCTTTTCACAGTCTCACTCTGCCTGCTAGACACATTTAGCTTCTCAGACGGACCACTGAATCATTTTGTTTCTGATCCAGCAACTCCCCTTCCAAATCTTCACTCACCCAGCTCCTCAACTCTACAGGTCTTATTCGTATAATAATTCCCTTATCCAGTACCCTCTGCTCCCCTGATTGGTATGCCTGTCCACCCACTCCCTACTTCACATGTTAAGAAAAACTCTGTTCTCAATTTCTTCCTCACATCAGGTGGTGATATTACCCCCATTCTATTTCAGTTCTTTAACAAAAGTGAACATGTGTCCCCCAGTTCTAGTTCCAGTTTTCCTCCTGCGATAGTGACAAACCTGCTGATTCTCTTACTAGGGGACCAATTAAGTAAGCACTTTTCTCAGTGACAAACATTAGCTTTCCCTGGAGACAAATAAGTCTCCATGTAGAAAAAAGAACATTTCTCCAGTAGTAGGGATCTGGTTTGCCATGAAGAAACAGCAGGCAGTCCATTTTCACTCAGATTGCTGGGGTTCTGTTCAGCTGGTCTGAGACCAGGCAGAGAATCACACAGATATATCCTGTCTCCCAGGTAATGGACCCAGCTCATTGTATCCTTTTGAGCTAGTGTCTCTCTCTGGTGAAAAGGTTGGGGTGAGGGTTACTTGGCAATCATTCCACCATAAAGTGGGAAGCCAGAACTGACAAAATTCCAAAGATAGAGTAACAAATGTAGCTGGAGAGATCTGGAAAAGGTTTC